TGCTGATCATTTACGCTCCCTTGGCAGCCACCTCTCCAAAAAGTCAACATTGACACTGAAATACAATACCTTCTGAGCTCTGCAAGTGCAGCATTTTTCTGAATGAAGCACAGAGTGTTTGAGGACTGGGACATCTGTAGGGATACCAAGGTGCTTGTTTACAAAGCTATTGTCCTCCCAACCCTGCTACATGCCTGTGATACATGGACTATCTACGTCACATGCAACTCCTGGAACAATTCCATCAGTGCTGCCTCTGAAAATTCCTACAAATCTCTTGGGAAGACAAGTGGACAAATGTCAGCATGCTGGAAGATGCAAAGACCATCAGCATTGAAGCAATGCTCCTCCACCATCAACTCCTCTGGACCCGCCATTTTGTCCGGATGCACGATCACCATCTCCCAAAGCAGTTGCTCTACTCCGAACTCAAGAACAGAAAGCGGAATGTTGGAGGGCAGGAAAAGAGATTTGAAGATGGGCTCAAGGCCAACCTTAACAACTGTGGCATAGACACAGAGAACTGGGAAGCTCTGGCCCTTGAGCACTCCAGCTGGAGGTCAACTGTGATCAGCAGTACTGTAGAATTGGAAGAGGTACAAATGGAGGATGAAAGAGAGAAACGTGCCAAGAGGAAGGCGAGTCAAGCCAACCCATGTGCTGCCAGTAAGTTTCCGCAGGATGTTATTGTGTGCAGCTACTTTGTGCTTGGTGTTCATGCAGTGTTTCCTATATGTTAGTATTCGATCTAAGGTGACACCGAGATATTTAGGATGGAAACAAAGTTCAAGCTTTTTGTTGGACTGAAATTCCCAGTAGCCTTTAGCAGCATTGCCAGATGTAGTGAAATCTACCTTTTAGGCGACCAGGCCAAAGCCTGAATATCAGTAGCTGTCATATTGGAAGGCAGGCAGAGGCAGGAGGAGGAGTCAAGCTGACTCCTGATTGGACGGAGCAATTAGGGGAGGAGTCGGTTGAGAGAGGGAAAAGGCTGTCAGGTTTTGACAGGAGAGAGAAGTGTCTTAACATCAGACACAGAAGGATAGGATTTTAGGAGAGGAAGCTAAAATAGGGTTCTGACAGGAAAGAAAGCTAGAAAGTGAGCCTTAAGGTTAGGGAATAAGGTTGAGACAAAGGCTAGGGTTTTACTGTGTTGAGAGGACCAGTAAAAGAGAGTTTTGTCTTATTAAACTTAAGAGAAGTTTAACATATCTTATTGCCCTGTGTGTGAGACAGACAGGAGTCTGTTCTCTAAGAGTTACTGTTTCTAAGGATAGAACAGTGTGTTTAAGGAAACTCACAGTTTTAAAAGCTTTTTGGTCAGTAGAACTAACTATTTAATCCAACTAAGTCTCTGCAATTGAATTACGCTTCTGTACCGCTCATTCTATGAGTAGATGTTTGTTTAAAGCTCAATAAACCTTTTCTAGTTCACTTTTAACTGGTGTCAGCTTCAGTTTGTCAAGCACTTTTAAAGTCCAGTCAGTCAATTAAGAAGCAATAGAAGAACCAGGGCAGACACACCTTACCTAAAACACATTCACACCTTTGGTTCCTCAGACCAATAAAGCTGAGGTGGCGGCGGCTAATACTACCAAGAACATCGGTCATTGATATTTTTAATCCATGGTCAGCAGCTAACTTCGTTACACCAGATATGAGGGAAAATAGTAATTCAGCAGTATGAGTTATGGCAGGGGTCCTCAAACTAAGGCCCGGGGGCCAGATCCGGCCCTCCAAAGTCATTTACCCGGCCCTCGCTCATGGTCAACCTAAGTCTGAAACGACTTGAAAGCACACAACAACAACAATCCTATCTCATCAGCCAAAAGCAGGTCCACACGTCCCATTGAAATACTAATAAGTTTATATTTCTTAAAATTGTTCTTCATTTTAATTATTGTATTGCATTTAAGTGTTTTTTGCACTATAAAATGGCGTATGTGCAGTGTGCATAGGAATTCATGGTTTGTGTTTTTTCAAATTATAATCTGGCCCTCCAATACTTTGAGGGACTGTGATCTGGTCCTCTGTTTAAAAAGTTTGTGGACCCCTGAGTTATGGGTATTTTTTTCAATGTCAGGAGCAACTTGAGAAACTGCAAGTTGCTTCTGGTGTAAGAGAATTGGCCATCTGCAAGCATGTTGTCCAGGGGATGTCCAGATGTTTGATGTTTTAACATCCCATAGGAGGCTTCTCTCATGTCCCTGCATGGGAAGCTAGAGCCGACAGGTGGGAGCTCACCCCACTCCCCGGATTCGAACCGCCAACCTGTCAGTCAGCAGTCCTGTTGGCACAAGGGTTTAACCCATTGCGCCATTACAGATAAATGAATCTCCAGCAACCAAAGGATGAACCCCAATGTATTTTGTGGACTCAGATACAAATAGTGATATGAGCAATGCTGCATTTTTCTTTTATGGCTCGTTCTAAAAAGTGCATCAGCTCACAGTGACTGTCTTCCCTTGGTCACGAAGCTCTGCCTTCTTTTTCAAATGCACAACACACGGGAAGGTGGTGTTAGTTCAACTGATATATTTATGAGGGAAGAAGAAAAAAACCGACATGGGAATGCTGAATAATTTATATCTTCTTCCTTCTAGTCAGCATCACACAGTAGGAAGATAATTTTCTTCTTCGTCGTCTTTGGCGTAGCTCTTGCTAGATTTCTTATTTGAAGAGCTAATTATAATTTCGTTTCATGCGCAGGCATTCCCATCAAGCGCAGATGTTCTCTGCTCCAGACAACTTCTATTACGGAAGGCTAGTTTTCGTCCTGGTTTAAACTGTGGATGGGTTGGTTTTTGAAACTTGCATCGGTGCATTCACTTGAAACATTCATTTGCTACTGTTTGATTTCTGAGACATATTTTTTTCCCTTCCTGAACTTGCTCACCTTTTAAAAGCCTGCCCTATTCATTTGTTTTTACGGCACATCTTTGTCTGAAGTACCCTTGGTAACTGCACATCAAAATCTACAGTGTCTTAACCAGCCAAATAACCGCCTAAGGGGTTCTGTTTAATTGCAGGCTGGAAATGTCATTTTTTAAAATGCATATTTAATTTCTCTGCTTTTAAAAATATTATAAAACACTTAGCAATAAAATGCAGTAATGGAACATATAAGAATAAGAAATAAAAGATAGCTAGGATCTCTTGGAGGAGTCCTTGCCACCTTCCTTTTCATTAAGGCTTCAGTTCCTTCCTCCTGTGGGACAGAAACCGAAATTGGAAGTGAGGATCTGAAGGTCTTTGCAATGTTTCCCTCCTCAAACAGTCAAAAAAATGAGATTTGCCTAGAAGCTGTCTCTACTCCTGATTCAATGCTGTAAGCTTTGAACCTGAGGTATTAGAAGTCCCGATGTGCGAATGTAGACATCTTCTTACTAGCTTTAGCATTTTAATGCCCGGAGTGACTGAAAATATTTGTAATAAGTAGAAAACAAGTTTGATGAACATCCCTGACAGTCTCAGTCGCCTAATGGGAATTCTTTGCAGAAAGTTTCCATCTCTGTTGAAGGCAGTGCATTTTCTGAGTCAGCCTCCATTCCTTGAGAGACTATATTGTTAACTTGCCTCTGGGGTAAGATGCGTTTTGTTGTTTTTGTGCCTTGTGGCCATCGATTTGTCAGTTATTAAAATGTTTACAGTCTGTCCTATATCCGGGACATCAGGGTGGCTTACTATAAATCAGCTTGAAGTCGTTCAGTGTAATTTTAAACAGTAAGAGTGATGTAAATCAACCAAATATACTAAAAAGGTAAAGGTAAAGGTTTCCCCTGACATGAAGTCTAGTTGTGTCCGAAATTGAATGAGGACGCTAATCTCTAACCTTCACCACAACGCCAGTTGATGAGATACTGACAACTGGCGCTGCTCGTTCGCTTCCTCTGGCTTCCCGCTACACAGCAGTGACACCAACTTCCCCTGAGAAAATGCTGTTGGAGTTCAATCTGTGGCTGTGAGTAATGATCAGGGTACTCTGGATGTTGGGAACAACAATGCACTTGGAGGGAAACGGAATGAAGACGCTCATCTCTAACAACGCCAGTTGATGAGCTACCGAGGACTGGCATTGCTCGTTTGCTACGCGGCAGTGATATCAATTTCCCCCGAGAAGATTCCTTGCGAGAGCTACATGCCTTGTAACCTTTCTTTCCCGATAACCCTTGTATTTTTGGAGATATTAAAACAAGGATTGGATAGACATCTTTCAGAGTCCTTCAGTTATCTATTCATACATGCCAAGAGGTTGAACTAGATGCCCTTGTGATCTCCTGCAATTCTCTGATTCTGTGTTTCATTGGAAATAAGTTTCACTTTAGTCACAACCAAATGAGTATTTTGGGAAATGTATCCATGATATCAAAACTGCCTGCTCTATGTGACCTTCCATCCACACTTTGGCTTGCCATTTGTGGCTTTCCATTTCTGTCATTCTGGGTATGTGTTTCATTTTGCACAGGTCATGCGAAGTGCATAGTACTTGTATTAATAGTTTGAAGAAGAGGTGAAGTGATGTTTGTGTTGAAACCGAATGTCTTTTGTTACAACAAAATGAAAAAAAGGTCCATTTCATAGTGCTCCTATAAAAAAGACACAAAATAATGTAAAGCATTTTCCTCATTTTATGCTGATTTTTTTAAAAATTAGCATTTCCAAACTTTACTATGTTGTGGTCATTTTTTTCCATATACAATCCTTTTGCTTTTGGTATCACGATCTCTAATTGTATTCACGTACTTTCCCTCAAACAAAATGAAACAGAGAAATAAAAGTATTCCAGGTTTGTAAACAAGCTTTATTTGATTTCATCGTCTGCATCCGAGGCATAAAAAATAACTCTTGGTTTTATTGTGGCAAGGCTGATTGAGCCTAAGTGTATCTGCATGAGCTGGTGCTACTATATAAAACATCCCTGATGCTTAATTATGCTGGTACCTTGAACTTCCTTCTGAAAGCATTTCCAATTTGTTTCATGGGTTATCTCTCTCACCCAGGCGCATTGATGATGACAAGGGAAGGACCCATGAGCTGGAGCATTCTGCCATAAAATGCATGCGAGGAATTCTCTACTGCTACATGCGCCAGGCTGATAAGGTAAAACACTGCTGTGTGGACACAAGCGCACACTTAATTCTAAAGGATTAAGTTAATTGTAACTGTTAAGAGTGTTCCAAATGGGAACCAAATTAAAAGGGCGATGGGTGAAGTGCCAGAATGCACTTCCTAGGGAAGGTCTGTTCCCAGGCTCTGGGCCCAACATGTTGAAAAGCTGCAGGCAAAGAAGCTCTTCCCGCTGTAAATCAACTCGTCAGCTTATTTGAAAAACTCAATCTTTTAATTGCTCTTGGAATGTAAACCAATGATAGGCAGGCAGTGGTGTCAGGAATGTTGAAAATGCAGAGCATCATGAGAAACACTATGGAAATACACAGAGGTCCTGAAAGTAGAGTTGGGAGGAGATTGAGAGGGCTCGTGCTGAAACTGCAGGAAGCGAATAGGGCCTTTCCTGTTAATTTGACAAATGCGCATATGGGAACACCATATGTGCCAGGGGACAGTTCCATCTTGTCTCCTGCATATGTCATCAGTTGGGGACCCATCCCCTCACCACCAGCTGCTGCTCTGGACCAGAATGAAGAGAGAGGGGGCCAGGGGACACTTCCACCTTGTCTCCTGTGCTATGCTAATAATATACGGAGGACACGGAACAATGACTTCAAACTATAAGAAAGGAGATTCCATCTGAACTTGAGGAGGAACTTCCTGACTGTGAGAGCCGTTCAGCAGTGGAGTGTGGTGGAGGCTCCTTCTTTGGAAGCTTTTAAACAGAGGCTGGATGGCCATCTGTCAGGGGTGATTTGAATGCAATATTCCTGCTTCTTGGCAGAATGGGGTTGGACTGGATGGCCCAGGAGGTCTCTTCCAACTCTTTGATTATATGATTCTGTAATATAATATGTATAATATTATAATGTAATGCAATATAATCTACTACTACTACTACTACTAATAATAATAATATGATAATTATATATTTATATTACATGTAATATTACTAATAATATTACAATATAATGGTATAGTACAATATAGTAATATTTAATACTGATATTGTACTATGCTAATAATCTAATCTATTGTATGTATATAAACCTTGTAAGCCACTCTGAGTCCCCTTCAGCGTGAGAAGGGTGGCATATAAATGTCATAAATAAATAAATAAATAAATATTTTCCTTTCTGTAATTCTCTCCTTCCTTCCCCCTTTTCCTCCCTCCTACACTGGATTATATGGCAGTGTAGACACATATATATGTCTATGGTTGTTGGTTGACTGGATGCATATATATACTTATGTTATGTAGGGACAGTCCAGAAGTAATTAGAGAAGGAGGGAAAGTGGGAAGGAATGAAGGAGGGAAAGGGGGAAGAAAGGAAGGAGAGAAGGAGGGAAAGAAGGAAGGAGAGAAGGAAGGAAAGAAATAAAGTTAGAGAAGAACGGAAGGAGAAAAGGAAATAAAAAAGTTAAAGGAAAGAGAGAGGGAAGGAAGGAGAGAAGGAACGAAAGACAGAAAGAGGGAGGGAAGGAAGGAAGGAAGGAAAGAGAGAAGGAAGGATGTAACCAAAGAGCAAATAAAGGGAGGAAAGAAACAGGTAGAGACAGAAAAAAGAAGAAGAGAAATAAGAAGGGAAAGAAAAAGAGTGAAGGAAGGAAAGAGGGAGTGAAGGAAAGAGAGAAAGTTGGAGGGAAGGTTGGCCACAGCAACGCATGGTGGGTACAGTTAGCATGTTTGTGTGTGTGTGTACACACGCACACACACACGCACACACCTTTCTAGTAAAAAGACACGGATTCGCCTTCTTTAAAAAAATAGCGTACATGTTATTATGTATTTTAGTTAAATGTACACTTGGATACATTTTGTGAAAATGTGTCTTTGTGAAAAGTATTCAAAATAAAAAAAAACACAAAAAGGGAAATATTTGTGCATTCTGGCCTTGAAATGAAACATTTTTCTTCCTTCAGTTGATAACCTGTTGCAACTCAGATCTAAGACTGATGTTTATGCACAAGGTTCATCCTGAATAGTTGGGGACAGCTGTCGTTGACTCTGGAGGTCAGCTTTAAACTGTCACTGCAGACGAGCCATTTCCAAATATCTGTCATGTGAGCTAGCATGGAGACTCGGATTTAATATTATATCCTTTAAATGCAGCCTGGAAGATGGGAATGATCTGAGCAGTCTTGCCACGTCTCTGGTTTCTCTCTTTCTCTCTCTCTGTTGGGAGATACTAAGCAATAGTAAATCGTATTGCGAAGCCGTGACTCCCACCGCTTGTTACTAAAAATTTAAAACCGTTCACTTGCTGCCACCAAAATA